ACAGGTCCAGGTGTACTTTCTATAAGAGGAAAGACAAAAAACAAAAAAAAAACATGTTAAGGTAGAGGGCAGCACGGTGGCGCAACTGGTAGAGCTGCTGCCTCTCAGCGAGCAGGTCCTTGGTTCAAACCCCGGTCCAGGGGCCTCTCTGGGTGAAGTTTGCATGTTCTCTCCGTGCATGCGTGGGTTTTCTCCGGGTGCTCCGGTTTCCTCCCACAGACCAAAAACATGCATGTTAGGCTGATTGGTAACTCTAAATTGTCCCTAGGTGTGAGTGAGAGAGTGAATGTTTGTTTGTCTCGTTTGTCTCTATGTGGCCCTGTGATGGACTTGCGACCCGTCCAGGGTGTACCCCACCCCTCGCACAGTGATTGCTGGACATGGGCACCAGCGACCCCCGTGACCCAAAATGGAATAAGCGGGTAAAGAAAATGGATGGATGGATGTTAAGGTAGAAATAATTACAACCACAAACAGGTAGAGCAGAGCAAGTAAAGACAGCAGCAGAGAGAGAGGAAATGTGGTCAATTTGTTCTTCAGCAGTCCTATAGCAGCATAACTAAGGGATATCTCAGGAAACCCAAGCTGACCCTAACTATAGGATTTATCAAAAAGAAAATGTAAGGATGTTAGTTTTCTGTGGCCCGGTGTGTCTGTTTTCCTCGTGCTCCTCGTTAGTTTCCATTGTTGCCACCTGTGTCTCGTCCCAGCTGTTTGTCATCATGTCTCGTCTTCTCCTTGTATTTAAGTCTCCCTATTCTGTCTTGTCCTTTGTCGGGTCGTCTTCGTTGGGTGAGTCTCCTGAGTCTCTCTGTTTTCCTGGTTCCTCGAGTTCCTCGTGTCTCCCGAGTTCCCCGTGCCTCCCTCCTTGTTTATGTAAGTTTTGCTGCCCCGTCAGCATATTTATTTTGTACTTTTTATTTATCATTAAAAACTTATTTTTGTATAACTGCCGAGTTGAGTCCCTGTTCTGCACTCTGGGTTCGCTCCGACCACAAATCCTAACAG